CGGATACTATCCCTGATTTTATGAATGCTATGTTGTAGCAGATCCTGGATTCATTATATTCCTCTGAAAATTACTGATTTTTTGTATTTGTTTAACGTGCATGTTGCCACTAGGCCTGGCTGATTGTTCTTCTCACACACTGTGTCCTTGTTTTAGAACCTGCCAAGATTGACAGCAACTCTTCCCTGGGCTGGATTCTCATTTTAATTCTTTTCAATACAAAAACAAAAGTTTTAGGATACAAGAGTCAGGGACCCATCTAGTGAATTTTCTTCCACTCTTCATGTTCTGTCTATGATCATCCAAAGAATTGTTTTCAGCCATCTTCTGGAAGTGGGATTATTTCCAGCTTTCAAACAGCCATCTTTATAGTCTGTATCCATGGGTTCCTCACCGGAGGATTCAACCAGCTATGGATCACAAATATTCAGAAAAAAAAAATTGTGTCTGTACTGAATGTGTAGACTTTCCCCCCTTCCATTATTCCCTAAATAACACATTATAACAATTATTAACATTTAATTTACATTGCATTAGGTATTATAAGTAGTCTAAAAATGACTTAAATTTTTTGGCACCTGCCTGTAATTCCAGCAACTTGGAAGGCTAAGGCAGGAGGATCATAAGTTTGAGGCCAGCCTCAGCAACCTAGGGAGATCCTGTCTCAAAATATAAGTATAAAGTGCTAGAGATGTAGTTCAGTGGTAGAGTACTCCTGGGTTCAATGCCAAGCACCCCTGGGTTCAATCCCAAAATATATATATAAATAAGTATATGTATACACACACACACACACACACACACCAAGTGCTAGTAGGTCGCTACTTTTTTCCCTTTATCTGTGTTTTCTGATTCTAACATGAATACATGTGAAATAAAAGTTCTTCAAACAAAACAGATTAACAGCCACCATCACAACAAAAGGTAAGAAAGGAACCAGCCCCAAACCTCAGGTACCAAATAAACCGTATCTGGGGAGAAGGCATCAGGCCACTGTGCTGAGCGGCCTGGCGGGAGCTGACGGCTGGCTCTCAGAGCCTGGGACAATTCTGTAAGAATGCAGGTGGGGACTTTTCCTCCTCTGCTTGCTATTTTACCAATAGAAGAATGTATGTTCCTGCAACAAGAAGCAGTTGCTCAGTGTGAATTTTTCCAGGTTCAACAATGTTCAAGACAAACATGTTTGGAGCTCTATCAAGCCCAGGGCTGCAGGCAGAGAGATCATCAAAGATGATCGACTTTATCTTGCCCTGCAGCAGTAGGCAGAACTTAACATTCACTTTGATCACCACCAGCAACAATTAAGGTTCCGGAGGCTCCTTCCAGCCCTCTGTGTGAAGTTCAAGTGTTTGAAATCGCAATGCAACACTTACTAGGCGAGACGATCTTTGGAAGGAAACAAGTATTTGAATGCTCCTGGGGGTTTTATGAGTGACTATCAAAGCCACCTGCACTCTAGTCAATAGCAATTAATGAAGCTGTTCCTTCATACAGTACTTTAGGGAAAAATTAAAGGAAAGAAACAAAAACTGGAAATCTAGGCCTGGAATCACTTGGAGAAATGATCAGGCGGGACACAATGGCGTACATCTATGATCCCAGAGACCTGGGAGGCTGAGGCAGGAGGATCACAAGTTGAAGGCCAGCCTCAGCTACTTAGTGAGGCCCTAAGCAATTTAGGGAACCTCTGTCTCAAAAAAACAAAAAGGGCTGGGGATGTGGCTCAAGTGGTTAGCACCCCTGGGTTTAATCCCCAGTACCAAAAAAAAAGGAAAAGAAAAAGAAATGGACATTTCCATCACCAGCCAACTGTGTGATCCCAGCTTAATCGTGTTTCCTTCTTAGTCTCGTTTTCCAATCACAATATCATGAAGAAAGTGTAGACATGGCGGAGGTGGTACTGTGCCATTCAACCAGTCGACTTCCAAGATCCCATCCAGCTCCATACTGGGAGAAGTTGGTGTTGACCAAGATACAAAACAAAATCCATTTACACAAGTAACAGGCCCCGTTCAAAGAAATAAATCATTCTTTGTGCTGATGTTACGCTTTCCCTCAAAGCTTTGTTATTCATTTTTCTCACCGTCAATAAATAAGAGCACTTTGTTACATATGTAACGACTTGGTATTTTTCTTCTTAACTGCTGTATGCTGTTCTGTAAGGGCACATATTCTTTCCACCTGTTCTGATTGTCATTGGTGTTATTAAAGAGGAAAAAAAAAAAAACCCTTTCCACTCGGGTTATTCAGAGAGTTAACATCTGATTTTACATGGAACTCTTTAAAAGAAAAAGAACAACATGGCCTGGAGCACTTCTAGCACAGGGTGTGGAAGTATTTGATGTCCGGGTGCTTGTTCATAAAAGAATGTTGTTTTGAAATGTGCAGCGAAGTCAAGGAAAGAGATCCAAAGAAAGTTCCCATTGAGACAAAATCAAATCAGCCCACCGCTCCCCAAATACTTCCCTCTTGGGCCACTGGGCCCCCTGGCTCTGTGCCCACCATCTGGGACCAGAGTCCCAGGGAGGCCTCAGCCTCACAGCCTACAGTGATGTGTGAACACGAGACTCGCCCCCACTCGGGGGCACTAACGGGCAGGAGGGTTTTGCCAGTGGTGATCCAGAGTCTCTGGAGGTATTAGAGAGGTAAGCAGGTCCTCCCTTCCACCCTCCAAAGGTTTGATAATTGAATCTACAGAAATGAACCAAAAAACGGGTTAACAGGAGAAAAGCATACACATTTATTAATTGTGTACATGCACAAGAGTCGCATGAAGTATGAAATTCGAAGAAAGGTGCTATGGTTTGGGTACAGTTTGAGTGTGTCTTCCAAGTTTCATGTGTTGGAAGCCTGGTCCCCAGTGTGACATTGTGGGAGCTGGTGACATCTTTAAGAGGTATATTTAGAGGGAAGAGGTTGTTATAAAGAGCAAGCCTGACTCCCCCAGGCCTCTAACTTCCTGTCTCATGGTGTGATCTCTCCTCTTCCCACGTGCTTCACCATAATGTCATTGACCATGAGGTCCTCACCGGAGCACAGCCGATGCTGGCACCATGCCCTTGAACCACTAGAACTGTGAGCTAAGTCTTTTTCTTTGTAACATAGTCAGAATCAGGTATTTTATTACAGTAGCAGAAAATTGACTAATACAAAGGGCCCGATGGTTAAAACTTCAATACCGTGTAGTAAAGGAAGAGAGAAGTGGGAACTATAGGGAATTAAAAGGAAAAGTAAATGATTTTTAGAGGAGATAAAGGGACTGAAAGAGTGAACCATTACCTGGAACAAAGTTCACCTGGACTCTGAGAGTGGCGCTTGACTTTCTGTCTCTTCTTGTGTCGGTTAATCTCTGGCTAATGTAGATTCCAGGGAGAGGGTCCATGACAAACACCAATGGCACTCCTTCCTTAGGAACTTCCCTAAGTAAGACAAGGAAAACCTCAGAGGAAGCCCCTCCCTGCACTTCTGGAGAAAAAGAGGATCCCAAGGTGAGGGTAGGGGTGAGGTGGGGTTGTCACAGAGAACTTCAGGCTGCTGCTCCAGTTCTGCACTCAGCATGCCAAAGGCTACACTTTGAGGGTCTCCGTTTCTGAGCCCCAATAGTATCCTGCAAGAGTTGGTATCACCCAGGCATCTGCCCTTCCCCATGAACCCCCTGGCACAAGGGTTACTCTTTCCTTCACAGCCAGGACCAGGACTGGGTTGAGGGGAGTAATAGATAACACTAGGGGGTGTGCCCACAAACTCAGCGACCAGCATTAAAAATCAAGGTTAGTGCAGCCAGGTGTGGGGGCACGCGCCTGTCATCCCGGCTTCTGGGAGGTGGGGTAGAGGCAGAAGGATTGCAAGTTTGAGGCCGACCTGGGCAACTTAGCAAAAACCTGTCTAAAAAAAAATCACATAAAAAGGACTGGGAATGAGGCACAGTGGTAGACGTTTCCTGAGTTTCATCCCCAGGACTGCAAGAAAATAAAGCAAAATAATAATAATAATAATAATAATAAGCCATCCAAATTTTAAATAAAGGATCTATAACATGGCATTGCTCAGCTCTATTGGAACCTGAGGCAAAGGGAAGATTCGGTGATGCTGAGTTTGTCATCATGCAAAATTTTGACGTTTTGTTCATTATGGATTTTGGCATTCATTTTTTTTCCCAAGGAATTCAAGGTTTAATGAAAGTAGAAATAGATTTTGCTTTGCTAAATTCTACCAGAAAGACCAAATTTTCATTAAAACACATACACATGTAAAGGATCAGTGGTGTAAATGAAAGCAAGACCGATTCCTAACCTGACATTTTGGGCTTCTCCTAGGTCGGTGTTTCACTGTGATAAGTGAGAGGGGAGTGGGGGACGAAGGGGGAGTCAGTGAATGTATCTGGGCCTGTTGCCTCCTTTGTAAATAAAGTGGTATGCATTCATTTTTTTTAAATATTTATTTGTTAGCTGTAGTTGGACACAATACCTTCATTTGACTTATTTATTTTTATGCGGTGCTGAGGATCAAACCCAGGACCCTGCACATGCGAGGCGAACACTCTATCGCCGAGCCACAACCCCAGCCCTCCCATATGCATTCATTTTCATATATTTCTTTATAATATTCCATTAAAAGGTGACTTGATGGGTAAGTTTTTGGCACACCCTGAACTGCTGTGCCTGAGGGACAGGGCCCACTTGCTTGCCCCGGCTATACCACCGGGAGACCTTGCTACCCCCTCTCCATCCCACACAGTGAGCTTCACCTTTTAATTCACTAAAGGCACTACTGCCTTTTCCTGTTTGGTTAATCATCTCCTAACCCACTTTCCTGGCTCTGCCTTGGTCCTCCCGAGGATGTCACCTCCTGGAATTTCACCACTGTATCGAGTGCACACTATTCTTTGTGACCCACACTTACTTAAGGTCTTTGGAGAGAGAGGTGATAATAGTCCAGTGACTACTGTGCTGGCTGGAAACAGCTTTAATATGGAAATTTCAAGTCCTCACTCTTCCTAGATCTCGTCATTCGTTGCCTGCCTCAAACCCTGTGCAGGTTGGAGCAGAAGGATGCAATATGGGGAAGCCCTTTACTTCGCATCTGGTTTTCAAGACCTCAAGTTCCTTCTCAAGGTCTCACCAGATAACTCCAAAACCCCTTCTCTCTCCTCAGATGCTCAGGTGAGCTCTTCTTTGTCCAAACCTCTTCCTCTAGGTCATGTCCCTGGGGCATCGGCATTTCTTGCCAAGGAGGCCCATCAAAGAGGCCTCTCCAAGTCTGGGCGAGACTGTGGGAATTCTGTATGGGATTCTGCTATAAGGCTAGCTGGTTGCAATTGAAACTTTCACCAGAACCTTCTGATCCCTTCCCATCCATTTCTGGGATTGTATCGCCTGCACGGGGGCCTTGGAGTCACCAGTAGTAAAGACTGTGATATTCTCTTTTTCTTTATATTTATTTTTTAGTTATAAGTGGGCACAATATCTTTATTTTATTATTTTAATTTTATGTGGTGCTGAGGATCTAACCCAGTGCCTCACGCATGCTAGGTAAGCTCTCTACCACTGAGCCCCAGCCCCAGCCCAAGACTGTGACATTTTCATCTCTCAGTCCCAAGAGCTGGGCCTGGTATGGAGTAAATCCTGGGTGAGGCGGCTTTAAGCGACCACATCCATCATTACCAGCAGTGGGTCAGTAGTGACCCAGGGGATGTGAAGGAAATAGAAAATCATGAACATAGCCGGGTGCAATGGCGCACCCCTGTAATCCCAGCGGCTCAGGATGTTGAGAAAGGAGGATCGCGAGTTCGAAGCCAGCCTCAGCAAAAGTGAAACGCTAAGTAACTCAGTGAGACTTATTTTGTATGTAAATAAATACAAAATAGGGCTGGGGATGTGGCTCAGTGGTTCAGTGGCCCTGAGTTCAATCCCCAGTACCCCCTATCCAAAAAAAAAGAAAGAAAATTGTGGACATGCACACGTGTGGCCCATTCTGAGTTCTTTGGTTCCAGAGCCCCAAGGGGCTTTCAGGAAGAACTAGTTCTGCCGACTCCCATCCCCTATATCAAAGCTCCACCCCAGAAGATGCTGAGCTCCTCATTCCACAGCACAGAACCCAAGTTCCTGAGTTTTCCCAGGTGGGGAGAGAAGAGCCTGGGGTGGAGTCCTTGCTGCCCTGCCTGAAGCCTGTGTGTGTTACAGTCTCCCCAAGCCACAGTGTCCTCTGCCAGTCCCTGCGGTTATCACTATGAGGTTAAATGAGATAGGACTAGCTAAGCACCTAGAAGAGTGTGCATGACATACATCCAGTCAATATCGCTCCCTCTTGCAGGAAGGGAAGTGCACCCGACCCCAGGAAGCTCCCCAGGTCACTCCTGGTTGATCTGGGTGTTTTTATTCAGAAGTCTCCTGGAAAAAAGTCCTGTGCCCCCAAGAAGGAGAAACCTCAAGGGCAAATGACCTTTGAAAAGACCTGAGCAAGGGGAGCCAAGGGTGCAGAAAACCTCTGTGGAAATGGATCCCTGGCGCCAGAGGCGAACCCAAGCTCCCTGCTGCAAGGCTGCAAGGCACGGCCCGGGAGAGATGTGTTGAAGTGACAGTAATGCAGAGAGGCAGGAAGACTGCCTGCTTAAGTGTTTGCATAAAAGTTGGGCTTTGGAGCATTTTTTGTTTCCAGGGAAGAAGGCTTGGTGGGTGTACCAGGTCACGGATGCTTTTTCAAAGCATGCCTCGCATCCCATATGCAAGAGCCCCCCAGGGAGGCCGAGGTTCACGCAGAATACTTCACAGTAGGAGGGAGAAGGAGCACTTGTCTGGCCTCGGGGTCACTAAGAACTCTTCCTTGCCAGGGATGATGACTAGCTGAAGCCCAAGGGACCTGCTCTGGCTGTGAGACCCACCCCGCGTTCCATCTCCGGCCCTACCTTCCTGTCCCCCAGCCTTTTCTGGCTTGAAAGATCCTATCACAGTCCAGCACCTCCACATGCGCCCCCAGAGGAGCTGCTGAACCTTGGCCAGGCAGCAGTGTCACCTCCCAGGCAGCAAACAAGACCCCCAAACAAGGCTGACATAAGCTTTCTGAAACGCTCTGGAGCCAGCTGGCCTTACCTACTTCAAGACCAAATGCCAGGAAACTCTGGCTGGGCCTCCAAGTCCCCAGGACCCAGGGATGGAAGACTTGCTGACATGTGACTTCATCCTGCATTGCTCCGCCTCGTTCCCCCTCTCTGCCTGCGCAGCCCCAGATCTCAGCACAGCAGGCCGAGTCCCCGCAACCCTCCCATGGCCAACGCGGCCTATTCTTCCAACCCAAGTAGCTCATTCCTTAGTGACATCCGTCCTGCAGTGTTTTCAAAATGTGCTTTGCTTTCCTCCCCTCTTCTTCCGGAAGCCTGGGCCATGGGAACTTCTGGATGACCCCAGGTCCCAGGCTGCCATCTGCATCATGGCCAATCAGTATCTGGTGGAACCAAGAGCCATCGAGCGGAAAGCAAGTCCTGACAGCAGTGTTGGAAAACATCAAGCTTCCGGGTTTATCTGTAGCCCAGTTGGTTAGACACCATTCCTCTGTTCCTGTCCCCCTCAATCTAAGTCCCCAAGCACAAAAGCAGTTTTACTTCTCTTTACACTCCAAAAACCTCTCACTCTCCTTTGCCAACAAGCAGAGTGTACTTCCACCCATCGGGTCTTTTCTCCCACTGGAAGGAGCATTTTTTAGAGCATTGTTTGTTTCCAGGGAAGAAGCAAAAGATTTCCCCAGAAATCTCCAGCAAGCTTCTTCTGCAGAGAATCCTAATTAAACCCCAAATTTTCCAGCCCCCCCACCCGTGGCCCTCCTCCTGCATAAACAACCTCATCTGTCTTTACTTCTGTCCTCCATGAACTTGTCATGTTTTCTGATGATGCAAACACCTCAATTCTGGAATCTCACCGAAGGTCAAACATTTACTCAGACTTGAAAACTCTCTCTGCCGGGGTGATTGACATTTGTCTTTGCAAGGAAAACGCAGCCTACTTGGTAGGCAGCACAGAACGGCTTTTCTCCACTCGCTCAAATAGGCAAGAAGGAAGCACCAGAGCACCACACCCCCGCAGCAGTCTTTCCCGCTCCATCCAAGAAAACAAAGAAGTCAGAGTTTCCCAGGGCCTGGATCCTCAGCCTCAGTCCTGTATGTGCTGAGTTTTGACTTGTGCCGAGGTCAGTGCAGGATGAGGACGGAGATGTGCTCCAAGGTCAGAGATGTGCTCCAAGACAGCTGCCTGAAGGCCTCGTGTCTTTGTGGTGATGCCCGCCCCACGCCCCACCGTGAGCCGCCGGTCCTGGGAAATGAGCCTTAAGTGGAGGTGAGTCTTTCCATATGTCTCCCACGAAAATTGTACACTATCGACTAATGCAATCCAGAGTCCCTCCAAAACATCTCTATGGCTTCAAAAAGAAAAGCAAAAAAAAAAAAAAAAAAAAAAAAAACCATATGAGCCCAGTTTAATATCATGGGGTTTCTAATCCAAATGAACAAGGCAGGAGAATAATTCACACCTGGTATTAAGTCAAAGAGATCCCAGTGGGCGACAGGTAGAGCCATGAGTCCAATAGACATTTAACAAGCACACTGGATGACAGAGATGACATGCCATACCCCCCAGGAATTCCAGAACTTTCCATTGTTTGATGAGGGCAGAGAAGCTGATGAACTCCCAAGAGATAATTCAAAAAAATGTTCTCAGTACTTACTAAGGAGTTTGGTGTATGAGGTGCAAAAAGTGCTGGGGGAAATATGATCTGCTAGCAATTTTCCTACCCTGGCTGGCACTGCACAGTAAGTAGTTGACCACGTTTCGCTATTCCCTGTCCCCAAATGCAGCCTCTCCCCTACATAGTAGAAATTTCACTGTTAGAGATTCTTTCCTTTGGATTAAACATAAGTATTGGGGATAGGGCTGTGGTTCAGTGGTAGAGCACTCGCCTAGCACGTTCGAGGCCCTGGGTTCGATCCTCAGCACCACATAAAAAAATAAATAAATAAAATAAAGGTATTGTGTCCAACTAAAAAATAAATATATTAAAAACATAAGTATTAACATCATGAGTAGAGAATATATTTCTTTCTTTTTTTTTTAAATTTTTTTTATTGGTTGTTCAAAACATTATAAAGCTCTTGACATATCATATTTCATACATTAGATTCAAGTTGGTTATGAACTCCCAATTTTACCCCAAATACAGATTGCAGAATCACATCGGTTACACATCCACATTTTTACATAATACCCTATTAGTAACTGTTGTATTCTGCTACCTTTCCTATCCTCTACCATCCCCCCTCCCTCCCCTCCCATCTTCTCTCTCTACCCCATCCACTGTAATTCATATCTCTCCTTGTTTATTTTCCCATTCCCCTCACAACCTCTTATATGTAATTTTGTATAACAATGAGGGTCTCCCTCCATTACCATGCAATTTCCCTTTTCTCTCCCTTTCCATCCCACCTCATGTATCTGTTTAATGTTAATCTTTTCTTCCTGCTCTTCCTCCCTGCTCTGTTCTTAGTTGCTCTCATTATATCAAAGAAGACATTTGGTATTTGTTTTTTAGGGATTGGCTAGCTTCACTAAGCATAATCTGCTCTAGTGCCATCCATTTCCCTGCAAATTCTATGATTTTGTCATTTTTTAGTGCTGCGTAATACTCCATGGTGTATAAATGCCACATTTTTTTTATCCATTCATCTATTGAAGGGCATCTGGGTTGGTTCCACAGTCTAGCAATTGTGAATTGTGCTGCTATGAACATCGATGTAGCAGTATCCCTGTAGTACGCTCTTTTAAGGTCTTCAGGGAAAAGTCCAAGAAGGGCAATAGCTGGGTCAAATGGTGGTTCCATTCCCAGCTTTCCCAGGAGTCTCCATACTGTTTTCCAGATTGGCCGCACCAGTTTGCAGTCCCACCAGCAATGTACAAGAGTACCCTTTTCCCCACATCCTCTCCAGCACTTGTTGTCGTTTGACTTCATAATGGCTGCCAATCTTACTGGAGTGAGATGGTATCTTAGGGTGGTTTTGATTTGCATTTCTCTGACTGCTAGAGATGGTGAGCATTTTTTCATGTACTTGTTGATTGATTGTATGTCCTCCTCTGAGAAGTGTCTGTTCTGGTCTTTGGCCCATTTGTTGATTGGGTTATTTGTTTTCTTATTGTTTAATTTTTTGAGTTCTTTGTATACTCTGGATATTAGGGCTCTATCTGAAGTGTGAGGAGTAAAAATTTGTTCCCATGATGTAGGCTCCCTATTTACCTCTTTTATTGTTTCTCTTGCTGAGAGAAAACTTTTCAGTTTAAGTAAGTCCCATTTGTTGATTTTTGTTATCAACTTTTGAAAGCATTCGACAAAGTACAGCATCCCTTTATGTTCAAAACATTAGAAAAACTAGGGATAACAGGAACTTACCTCGACATTGTAAAAGCTATCTATGCTAAGCCTCAGGCTAGCATCATTCTCAATGGAGAAAAATTGAAGGCATTCCCCCTAAAATCTGGAACAAGACAGGGATGCCCTCTATCACCACTTCTATTCAATATAGTTCTCGAAACACTGGCCAGAGCAATTAGACAAACGAAAGAAATTAAAGGCATAAAAATAGGAAAGGAAGAACTTAAATTATCACTATTTGCAGATGACATGATTCTATACCTAGAAGACCCAAAAGGGTCTACAAAAAAACTACTAGAACTAATAAATGAATTCAGCAAAGTGGCAGGATATAAAATCAACACGCATAAATCAAAGGCATTTCTGTATATCAGCGACAAAACTTCTGAAACGGAAATGAGGAAAAACACTCCATTCACAATATCCTCAAAAAAAACAAAATACTTGGGAATCAACCTAACAAAAGAGGTGAAAGATTTATATAATGAAAACTACAAAACCCTAAAAAGAGAAGTAGAAGAAGATCTTAGAAGATGGAAAAATATACCCTGTTCATGGATAGGCAGAACTAACATCATCAAAATGGCGATATTACCAAAAGTTCTCTATAGGTTTAATGCAATGCCAATCAAAATCCCAACGGCATTTCTTGTAGAAATGGATAAAGCAATCATGAAATTCATATGGAAAAATAAAAGACCCAGAATAGCAAAAGCAATTCTAAGCAGGAAGTGCGAATCAGGCGGTATAGCGATACCAGACTTAAAACTATATTACAGAGCAATAGTAACAAAATCAGCATGGTACTGGTACCAAAACAGGAGGGTGGACCAATGGTACAGAATAGAGGACACAGAGACTAATCCACAAAGCTACAACTATCTTATATTTGATAAAGGGGCTAAAAGCATGCAATGGAGGGAGGATAGCATCTTCAACAAATGGTGCTGGGAAAACTGGAAATCCATATGCAACAAAATGAAACTGAATCCCCTCCTCTCGCCATGCACAAAAGTTAACTCAAAGTGGATCAAGGAGCTTGATATCAAATCAGAGACTCTGCGTCTGATAGAAGAAAAAGTTGGCTCCGATCTACATATTGTAGGGTCGGGCTCCAAATTCCTTAATAGGACACCCATAGCACAAAAGTTGAGAATATATTTCTTCCTAATCCCAAGACTGAGTCATGTTTTATTTCCAGCTGTTTCTGGTGATTTACAGGAGAATATGGGGAATTTAGTTTCAGAATGAGCCAGGTAATTCTTTTCATTTCTAGGTGCAAAGGTGATACATGCTCACTGAATATTTGTGGATGAAATGAGAGTTGTCTTGGGGCAGGTGGGGACACAGCTGGAACAAGACAGGCCGTAGGCCAGACATTGTGAAAGCTGAGTCGTGAGTAGTTCATCATCCCATGCTCTCTACCTTTGAATATGTTTGGAATTTTCCATGAACAAAAGGAGAAGACTTGGTCACTTTTCCAGCTCGGTCCTTTCTATCTTGGCCAATGAGAAACATGGAAACCAAGCCAAAAGTACGAGTCCTCCCATCCCAGACAGGAAGTAGATTCCAGAGCTCTATGATTAAGGCAGGAAACCTCCTCCATTTGGGGGACTGAACAAGCTATTTATCCTCACTGCAGAGATCAAAGTGTGAATGCCTGTCCCTCCCACAACCCCCAAGACATGTGTGAACAGCTCCAGTTGGCAGCTGTAGCCACCATTAGCTTGAAATCCATTGAAACAGTAAAGTTTAGTCGAAGAGGGAAAGCAAATTCCAACCCTGGGTTCCAAGTTCCCTTTGCTGGGCGGAAGAGGAACAAAAAAGCTTAAGTAAACCTGAAGCTAAACTCCATGCCCCATCACACCGCCTGGCCTTAAAAATGAAGTGGACAGGGAACTGCTAATCATACTCACAGGATGCTGCTCATGTGCCCCAAATCAGGCCTCCTGACAGATTCCAAACTAAAAATCAAGCATCCAAGGACTCACAAGCTCTACCATGCAAAGCCATCTCAAATGTCCCCTCATCCCCAGAGCTCTAGCTTGGATCTGGAATGTTCTCCCAAAATGCCTATGTGCTAAAGGATTGGTCCCTGGCCTGTGGTACAACCTTTAAGAGGTGGTGGTACCTTTAAGAGGCGGGGCCAAGTGGGAGGAAGTTAGGTCATTGGGGGCGTATCCTTACTGGGATATTGGGACTTTGCTCCTCTCCTCCTGAGCTTGCAGCTGCTGAGTTGAGAAGTCCCACCCATGATGTGCTTCCACCAGGGACGTGCTCTCTCATCATAGGCCCAAACTGATAGAGCCAACAGTCATGGAGGGAAACTCTGAGCCAAAAGAAAGCTTTCTTCCTTATATGTTGCTTTTCTTTTCAGGTATTTTGTCTCAGTGATGGATTCTGACTGACACACCAGCTCCCCGCAGTTACACCAATGGATGAGCAGCCTTCCCTCCCCACTTGCAATCCAAAGGGGCCGGCTTTCTTCATCCATTCACTATTCCTAACCAGCCATCCTATGGGACACTACCATGGCGGACTGGCAGCCCTGGTGGAAGGACAGATGCGGGCTTTCCTACCCATCTACCTTGGCAGTACTTTAATCCAAGTGGTCACAAACAGCGGTCCTCACCAGCTCTAACCACCTGATTATTAGTTTCCTGTAGCCTGCTGTAACAACATACTCCACACTGAGCGACTTAAAACAGTCCAGCTTATTATCCCTCAGTGCCAGGGTCAGAAGGCTGGGTGGGCTGTCTGGCTCCTCTGCTCAGGGCCTCCCTGTGCCAAAAGAAGGCACTGGCTGGCCTGGTGCTTATCGGGAGACTCTGGGAACAATCCACTTCTGAGATCGTTCAGGTCATTGGCAGGATTCATTTCCTTGCCATTATAGGAGGAGGGCCCGCTCCCCTGCTGGCTGTGGCTGAGGCTACCCTTGTCACCTTAAGGCCATCTGCAGTCCTTGTCACATTGCCAGGTAGACTGAATTTGGCTCAAGAAGCCCCTTTTGTAGGAGGCTGCAGACTGAGATGAGCTCATTCTGCCCTGGAGCAGCTGAGAGAGAGGAGGAGAAGGCCCCGGATGGAAAAACCTACAGTTTTCCTCTTGGGACAAATCAACCCAGCCTAAGGCGCGAGTGCCTGTTCCCTTTCTCCCTGGCTTTTTGGAAGAGGTTTGGACCTGTCTGGTGAAGTCAGCGGCAGGAGTCCCACTCCTGGGTGTTGGTCCCCAGGGGGTCCTCCCCGTCATTCCTTGGGCCTTCCCAGGAGTCTCCCTTGAGCTTGTGTCAGTTCTGGGTCCCTCAGCATCAGAACACAAGGGAGTCGATTTGGAAGGTGATGGAGGAGAGGGACAGGAAAGGAAGCTGACAGTATTTATCAGCAAGTCACCTGGTGGCCACCCAGTGCTCAGCACCTCGGAGAACTCTGGGAAACAGGCGGAACACACTTAGCCCCTGGGAGGAGCTGGGGTATTTTCGCCACCTCCCCTCAGTCTTTCTGCTTGTGCTGCTGTGGCATCCCGTCTCCAGCACTTTGGCCGGCCATGTGCATGGGCACATCCGGCTCTGGCAACCAGAGAAATCCCCCTCAAAAAGACACAGTGCTGGCCACTGAGTGTCAGGCCGGCTGACAAAGAGGAGAGGACAGCCTGAGGGCCGAAGGGCTGGGGCACCCACGGCCTTGGCCACATCCTTGGCTCAGTGTGTCCCTGAGTCCCTTGTGCTACCTAGGAGATGGGAAACTCGGGAGGCCAAGGGCTTCTCTACCCAGGCCCATCCTGCAGCAGGGCCTTGTCCCCCTAGCCAAGCTCTGCCTAGGCAGTGAGGCTTAGGGGCTCTCTGCTCCCAGATCTGACAAAGCTGTCTGGGGGCCAGGGGCTTCCCACCCCAGTGCTCTGAGCTTAGGTGTACAGGACAGGGACAGGATGCCTTCTCAGGGACCCACCAGTGTCTACACAGCCATCTTCTCCCACTCTCCTCCTGGGATGTGAAGACACCCTCTTCCACCATACACAGTCGCTATATCAACTTCCTCATCCCCCGATGGGACATGGGGAGTCACTTTGGCAACTCAGATGCCAGGGAAGAGAGCCCTCTGTCCCTACGGTCTACCCTTCTCTTCCCTTGCAACCACGAGCCCAGCAATAGTTCAGTGAGTGGATGGGAAAGGCTGCAGCTGACAAGGAAATACGAGGTCCCCATCAGTTGGTCACCTTATCATACAGATAGGCACCGGGGAGTCAGACTCCAAGGCAAATAGGGACCGTGCCATCATGAAGTCTTTCCATGGAAGACAGACAGAAATTCCCACTGGAGATCTGTCAAGAAGGCTGCAAGGAGGCAGGGGCCTATGACCTGGCCTCAGAGTGGGGGGGAATCTCAGGCAGTGGACACAGGGAGCACGGGTGGCCTGCGTTTCAAGCATGCGGACAGGGGAGGGAGGGGGGGGTCCAGACCCTGGAAAGGTCAGCCCAGGTTTGCGGGATGAGAGCCCGGAGGAAGCCATGGGGTGTTTGGAGGTGAGAATGATGTGAGGTGTCACTGGGCAGGGGGAAGACACGTAAGATGAGCGTGAAAATGGCCTTTGTGTCAGGACTCTGGCTACAAGGATCTGTGTGTGGAAAGAGAGGAGAGGAAAGGGGGCAGAGAGGAGAGGGAGAGAGGAGGAGCAAGAGGGAGAGAGGAGGAGAGAGAAGACAGGAGTTAGAAGAGAAAGAAAATGTAGAGTGAGCCAGGGAGGTTCTGAAGGAGACCCCCATCTGTGGGTCCCCTCATCTCCACTCTGTCCCAGGAGGTCAGGGGAGTCCCAGGGCCCTGGCCTGGCCTGGCTCTTATGAAAAGAAGGCAGGAGAATGGGAACACAAGAGGATGGAGGTCTGACTAGCTAAATGAATTCACCAGGAGGCAGGACTGACAGCCCCAGGATGCCCTCAAGCAGAGAAGTCGTCAGAGAAGACAGAGAGCAGGTGATAATCGCCAGGCGGATGAGAGTCGAAGGCACCCAGGCCAGGCTCTCCTTGGCTTCTCCAAACCCAGTCAGCTTCGGAGAAAACAGAAAGGTCTGAGTTTTCTGGTTGTTCACACTTAGAAACTAAAGCCAGAAAACTTGCAAACATCTGGCTTGAGTAGCTCAGAACCCCCAGTGCTCAGCCCTGATGAGATTTAGTAATGCTATGGCTCCATCTACAGCCCGAGAAGGAGCATGTCACTAGGATTCTCTGTGAGCAGCAGGGTCCAGGCTTGGAGCTAGCTGCACAAAGCTAACTACAATTAATGCTAATTAAGCCTTTTCCTCTATCTGCGCTGTTTATTCAATGCAGACTTGGAACTACCCTGGAAGTTATTTATTTCAGACTATGTCTAAAACAGCAGCTGTTAGGAATATTCTAGAACGCTTTTAGCCAAAATTGGTTTGGAATCTCTATTTTAAACCACTGTTTGTTATGAATTGAGTTAAGTGGGTCTTTTTTTTTTTTTCACCACTTTGTTCTTCTATTGTAACAATGAAACACATAAAAGTCCTTAAAATACCAAGATTGCATTTTCTTTTATTCACTCAACAAACATTTAATTAGCACCTACTCTGTGGCTTTTACCAGGTTAAGCACAATAAGTCAGGTCTGGATACATCCCATAGTTTATTCATCGGAGTGTTATTATTTTGCTACTTCTTCTTGGCTAGAATATTTCCACATGGGTCAATAAAGTATGGGGAAAGACCAAGACAACCAGTGAATTTAGAGTTTGGGACAACTTAGAAACAGAGTAGACACAGGATCCCTTGACTCACGGCACAGTAGAAGCTAGGAGTCCAGACCCATAATGACAAGTAAGACTTTTGTTCGGTTCTATTATCGTTTCCCTCAGAAGTGTCTTTAGGAGGACGTGATGGGGAGTGAATTGGCCAGATTATATTGTCATGTTGTGTGCATTCACAATAGTAACAACAAATCTCACCATCATGCACACATATAATACACCAATAAAAACATGAAAAGAGAGACAAAAAAAAGAAGTGTCTTTAGGTTTATACTAAATAAAAAGGCCATGTAAAAGTACTGATGATTAGTGCAGACAACTTGGAAAATAAGTCAAAAAAGGAATAGTCTGTCAGTCAAAATCCTATCAACCAGCCAGGTATGGTGGAGTAGGGCTGTACTCCCAGCAGCCCGGGAGGCTGAGGCAGGAGGATTGCAAGTTCAAAGCCAGCCTTAGCAAAAGCAAGATGCTAAGCAACTCAGTGAGACCCTGTCTCTAAATAAAATAGGGCCAGGGATGTGGGTCAGTGGTCAAGTGCCCCTGAGTTCAATCTTCAGTACTGGGAAAAAATCCCATCAACCAAAGGTGACCATTGTTAGCTGTTGTCATTCGTCTTTATAAACATAGCCCTGTATTTTCACTAACCCATCAGAGATGGACATTCTGTCATGCCACTGTATTCTCCTATGTGATTTTGAATGACTACAGAGTATTCTTTCTTATAAACACACCAGAATTTAGGCCACGAGCGGTTATTGATTTTTCACAATTAGAAGCTTTGAACAAATGATGTTCCCTCAGATAAAGAGCTAACCATGAAATTTCTTCAAGCCCTCTGAGATGCATCTCAAGTTGTCACCCAGGTTCAATCTCCAAGAATTTTATATCACATCTGAACTAAAAGATCTAACTTCAGGAGCTCTGAGGACTTACTGTCCCAGAAAACCCTGGCCATGATGGTGAGCGGTCCTCCTGGGGCGCCAAGGGAAGCCCTGCAGAGCGAAACAGCGGAAGGAGGCCAGAGGGATTCAGAAGGGTTTCTCATAAATTCTTTACCTGGCAGGTGATTTAGACCTCGGTGCCTCTGGGAAAACAGGCAGCAAGACATGTTTTTGACCTAGTATTTAGTCAATAGAGCAGCACCAAGAGCTTGGGAGATTAAGAAAGATAGGATCATTGTCCCATCGTCGTCACCAGAACCCCACCATTTCCCATGGGTAATAGCGCCCTGCCTTGTCTTCCTCCACCTCCTATCAATGGATCTTTGTTCCCATGGATACTTTGCCCCAGAGGCACCTACAGTTCTCCCTTAGCACCCTTTGGAAACCAGCAACCTCCCCCGCCCAGTCACCAAAATCTGAGGATGCTCAAGTCGCTTCTAGAAAATGGCATAGTGTTCGCATGAAACTCAAAGTCTGTAGGTGTTCAGTGCAGACGCAATTTCTTTTCCGAATATTTTCAACTCAACCTCGGTTGAAGTCACAGATGGGAAACCCTCAGATATGGAGAACCAGCTGTATTGTTTGTTAGGCCTTTGAAAAAAATCTGGGCTCCTTTCATTTATGAGAGGTGGTCTAAGAACTCGAGGTGCTGGCTTAGAGAAGGCTCTGTGATCTTTCTCCTTTGGCATCCCAACATTTTCCATGTTATTCCTTAGTCACTGGGTTCACAAGGCATAGTGACAAGCAGATCTTACAGCAGTGGGATTGCACAGCAGAAGTCATTTGGGGTCAATTTTGAAAACGAAGGAGCAGAAATAATTGATGGAAAGGAAAACTGAACTTTGTTTCTTCGATTTTAGCCTGTGCCTACTGAGTATCTTCAGTCATCCAAAAACAAACAACACCACAAAACAACAACCAGGAAGAACCCAGCAGAGAGGCCCAGAAGGTCCAGGCCAACGGTAACTACCTGAGTGAGGCAGAGGAGAGGCCCACAGGTCGTGGTCATGGCTGGAGCTGGGGTGGAGACCAATTCTCACCACTGGGTCCAGTGACCATTCCAAAAAGGCTGATTTTACTGTGAGCATAAACCCTGACCGCTTTAGTTCTTGGAAAGCAAGATGAACCCCAAAAGGGTGGACTAGGGAAACCAGGAGCTGTGTCCTGGAGGCTGGAGTCTTGGGAAGAAACAATTCCAGCCATGCTTCTCCTGAACACTGCCTGCAGGTAAAGACCTCTTACGAGAAGAGAGTAGTTGACCTCGAATCCACAGCTCCTGCCCTGGTGGTAATAGAGAGCAGGCAAGAGTGGCATGACCCAAGGGTCTGCTTTTATTGAATATTTGCATGACGCGGACTCCTTGCAGTTTCCATCCATTGCACAAGTGTGCCCAGAGTACGCAGGAGAATCATGGGGGTTCAGTGATTTTCTGCATTCTCCCCATATTTGTGGGTCAGGGGAAGTGGGTGGGCAGGGGCTAAGTGGCTGCTAACCAGGAGACAGAGCTGTTAACCTGCAGTTAACTCGCAGCGCACTCTCCCTACTCTTTGTGCCCTCGATTGATGGAACTTCTCACGGGTTCTCTCTCTCTCTCTCTCTCTCTCTCTCTCTCTCTCTCTCTTTTCTGGTCCAGGTGGTAAAATCATAGGGAGCGCTTGAGGCAGGAAGTGTCTCCTCATTGCAGAAGAACAACTTGAGCAGGGCACACGAAAGAGCAGAGCTCACGAAGACACTGGTAGAAGTAACCTCCATGGTCAGTCGTCTTCTGCCCGTCTCTAGACCGTCTGACCTTTTACTTTACACGGCAATGAAATAAAATATTCGGAGGCTGGCTGACATGTCAGCAGGTCCCAGGTTACATATAGAGCCAAGCACCTTCCCCGACTGTGATTTCTCCAGATGGAAATGAAGGTTAACAATTCTGCCTTGACTCGCACACTCCATACCCTGCTTCTCGGGATGTAGTGACAAGATATCTTGCAGTGTTTTCTAAACTTGTCCCATGCCAAGAATCCCCTGGGAGACCCGTCAAAATACCAACTCCCAGGCCAGGCCCTGGACTCACTGGATCCGCAGGTGCAGGAGGAGCCTGGGGTCTAGAGTCTAGAGAGTTCCCAGCTGGTTCTGATGATTGGGTTTTCTGGCAAGTTTGGAAAACATTGAGTTCATCACCACGAAATTCTTTAATGTTTCAGAAGACATCAGGCTCAGAACACTCAAAGGAGCATCCATTATTCAGATAGAAGCTGATTTCAGAGCACAACACATAATTAGGAGAAAAAAGAGTTGGTTCACCATAAAAATTCAGATAAACAAGAATATGTGTGTGAGAGTGTGTGTGTGCGTGTGTGTGTGTGCGCGTGCATGCGTGCACACATACATCCTGGGCAATATCTGGGACATATATTAGAAGTTCAGTTTTGCCCGGCAGCCCTGTCAGATGCTCTTGCACACCCATTTATTTTACAGTATGGAAAAACTAAAGCAAAGTCTTTTTAAAATTTTTTTATTTCTTGTTGCCCAGACCGGTCTTGAACTCAACTCACCCTGTCTTCCTGCCTCAGCCTCCTAAGTAGCACGTTGGTTCCAGGAGGGTCCATTCTAAACTCTTCTGTATGAGCCTCTCAGCTTGTCACTTCTTTCTTAGTGACCACTTGCCTACCAGCCAGGAAGAAGCCCCACTCTTCATTATTCTGATTAAAAAAACAAACAAAAAAAAACCC